GCGAGTACTTCCTGTCCCGAGATAAAAGCAGGGTGAGGAAGGTAGTGAGGGGTAGATAAATTTTCTTCAAATAACTCTGCATATTACGGTGATCAGATACTAAACAAAGATATTTTACTAAATGAACAGGTGGTTTATTTTTAAACCTGAGAGTCATTGGACAATTTGGAGACCTTATACCTAAAGCTTACAGTCGCCATGGCGGTAACCGGCCGAATCATCATCATCACCTAACATTTAATAAATTATGAATTAATAACTATATTAATTAATAATTAATTTTATATTAATTAAAAATGAAAATCAAATCAACTATAGGTGGTAAGGTAAGGCTTATGCAATAATAAAATAAGTTTAAATTATATAAGACGAAGCATTTTATGTTGCCAGATAGCTAAGTTGCATCCTTAATCAAGACCTAGTATGGTAAACAAATATTTATTTGTCGCGGTGGTTATATCTTTACATCCTATGTTATAAAATCTTACTCCGGATCACAGTTGTACGAAACCATTTCCATGTCATAAAAGTACAAGACGCATAAGTGTATCGGAAATAATATCATTATTTGTAGCCAAATAAACGAAATGAGGTGAATAACAAGTTTAATCAGTAATGCGTTACACCTTACATAATGATATACTGAAAGACAATTACCATTATGCTTTCCGTTGTTTTACTGGAATGGCCGCTCATTTCTTTAATTAACTTTTGAAAAGTATCACAAAACTTAATGAGTCCAAAATCTTAACTTTGAACCTTCAAAGGTCTTTTTTTTTAATGTAAATGAGTTAAATATTAACTAACTCAAGAAAAAAAAGAATGATTAAAAAATCAATCGAATTAAGAATCTCTTCTTTTTGATGTTAGTTTGAAAAATTTTTGACTAACTTGAAAGAGTACCAACACTCAACATATATGTTCTTGAATAAATTCTTAGATAGGAGTTTTTTCATCTAGGTAATATGTGTTTTGTTGACTTGTGTAAATTACTTTTAAGAATCTTTCTTTATATCCGTTTAGAAACTGGTAGTGATTCCATAAGTGAGTTATAATGCGGTACTTCGAAATCCTTTCTAAAAAGGACCTGAGATAGGATACTTTGTTGGCAAAATAGCCTATAACCTCTGATGTTGGGTATACAAGCACTCTTATCTCTCAATTTAAAAGTTTATACAAATTTGAATCACCTCACTGACTCAAAACCGCAGTCTTCCAAGGCTAATCACTGTTACATTGTATCACACCTCCATCAAGTAGTCACCGAATCGTTACTAAAAATGACACAAAAGAGCATTGAAAGTAACAGAGTGGAACTAGAGGGTACACGGTCTGATGCGCCTGCGCAAACCACGAACGCTCTATAAATGACATTAATATTTTTATAATATCATCACACAAAAGCACAACATTTTTCTTTTTAAGATTAAAATTCGATTGTTGATCAACTTCTGCTTAATTTAGATTCCCAAAAGTATCCACAGATTTTTTATACATTTTAAATGCATTTGATTTAATATTACTTTCTACCTAATCTTACCTAATAAATAATATAAAAAATTACTTATTTTACTTTTTATTAACAAAAAAAAAGATTTACAAACTAAATTTCTGGCCATTTTACAGTAGCATTCATTTGAATTCACAAAGTTGTTACAACGATATCAGTTTCATCATATTCTGCTGTCACAGCAGCATGAACAATTTATACAATGAATAATAAATTAATATGAAGATTGGAATTGAGGAAAGTCAAAAATAAATGATGTTTATATAGTTATCAATGTAATATAAATTAAACATTGATCATTAATAATTGGATATACACATGTGATATGTTTACACAAATTTACCAGAGGCGGATTAAGAATCAAGAGCGCCCTAGGCAAGCATCTCGTCCACGACCACTATACCTTCCCTCAATCCCGCCCGCCCCCTCCCCTGCCCCGCTGCTCCTCTGTAGCGCCCATATGTGTGATAGTGATGACTTCAAAGTTTAGCTTCACGTGTGGCTACGTGAGTACATGGGCAGTCACCGGGGTTTGCGGTCAGACGGTGTATTGTATCGGAATCAAACCGACTAAAACCATAAAAGACCTGCGTTAGTCGGAAGGAAAGAGTCGGGAGGAGAGCTGCCACCCCGCTCACTAGACGATGCATCGTCTAGTGAGCAGGGTGGCAGCGATGACCGGCTAGACAAAAAAAAATTCTGCGAGCGCGCCCCTTTGTAATCTCGCACCCCTAGGCATGTGCTTACTTTTCCTTAGGGTTAATCCGACACTGCAATTTACTATCAATTAAATAATCGTTCACATAATAATAACCTTTTTCAACTAATATTTCCTTGATTTTTTTTAAATAGAAATACACTGTTTGAGATACCGAGTACAGATTTTGGTAAATGATTGTATAATCGAACAGCCATTTATAGTCCTCTCTTATTGAACAAGGATGTTTTATGGGCATGCATATTTCCATGTCAGGCCTCTTACTATTTAGGTTTTTAAATACATTTATATTTTTTCGCACAAACACGACAGTTTCCAAAATATAAATGCATGGTAGCGTTAGAATTTTAATATTGAAAAAATATGATTTACAACTATCTGTACTTTTAATACTAAATATGGCAGGCATGCGTTTCTTCTGCGCCTTGAATGCAGTTTTCTTATCAGTAGAATTGCCCCAGAAAACATCACCAAACTTTAGAATCTGGAAATATCTTCATGCATTCAGCAATCCAATATAGAAAATGTTTAATAGAATCCTTAAATGATAAAACTGCTTCCAGGTCCGGTACCGAATTTCCATAATTAAGCATTATTTTATGTCTATTTTAGACATATATCATATTTAGATTATATTATATTAGTATAACATTGTGTATAATAATAAGTGGATAATGCTGTTGGTAGTACAATTAGCACGTTTGTACTTAATAATAATATTAGCTATTATCGAATATGTGTGTACTATTGTCCAGAATAAATAAATAATCTTTGATGTACAGACAAATAAGAATTTTAGTTAATCGTTCGCAGCCTATTAATTCTTTTAACTAACGTTAGGTCGAACTTGTAAATAAGTACCTATAGACACGACTCTTACATAAACCTCCGACTCCATTTAACACAAAATACACGAAGTGACTGCAACATTTAACAGAACAGAAATGGGGGATTGTCTTTTACAGCGCGTACATTAATGTTATCATCGTTATGTTGTGTAAAACTTGAAAGCGTCATTTCTACAAGATACTACACTGCATCGTATATATTGTTAAATAAAGATCTGACTCGTATTTAAATTATAACGACTTCTTCAAGTAGCTCTGTAGAATTATCTTATTACCTACCTACTTAAAATTAGTTGTTTCTTAGGTCAGCTCAAACGGTAAAGTACGAGTAATTGTACAAACAGTATGCACTTATTGTTGACATTTATACCAGTACACATCATCCGAAGCAAAAATTAATTTGATGCCTAGAATGACTACCATACTAGTGACTGGTCATTCTCTGAAAAAACATCGCATAAGTCAGGGGACGCATATTTACTAAGTATCTGCAGCAAACCCTACAGCCGGCCCTAAATACTCGTATATTCCGGATAGATCCTGGAGAATTGAAAAGACCACAGGAGGGTTGGGAGGGCTTAAGAAGTATAAATGAGTTCTATTTAAATTGGGTGATATGAAGTAATTGTTATCAGTCGTAAAGACGAACGCATAAAACATTTTTGCTGCCCTGGAGCTATCCTCCGGAACGGCGTTCTAAGATTTTACGTTTCAATAAAATAATTATTTTTTAATTAACAGTACCTATAGATGGTGTCTATACCTGGCACATGGTATAGTATATACTCGTACATGAGTCAACAGAAAAATTAAGAGATCATACAAATAAAACTATAATGCCTCTGCCTCTAAATTGATATCATAGAGTGTTAGCATCAAGCAAAAAGGAGTTGCTTTGACTAAAGAAAAAAACGGAATCAATTTTATACACGCATATTTGACTAAAAGGCGCATGAGAAGGAGAGATATTGAAATCAATTGGATATGATTACATAATGCGTCTGTGTTATTAAAGAGGGTTACGTATACTAAACATATTTTCATCCGCCTGTGGACGAGGAGAATATATTTACATGTTTGATGCTCGTCCACTCATCATATACTCGTAGGTACTTGGTTATTCTGGTTTCAAGTAGCATCAGAGAGAGTGAACACAGAGAAATATAAAATCTTCATTGGGGCAATTAATCCCGTCTTAAGATGATTATACTATGGATAGTATCTAGTAATAAGGAAGTGGCAATTGAATTAGTGTTGGTTGGCCTGTCTATGCGTAGGGTTGTCAAATCACCGTTTACCACTAACACACACCAAATATCACCAACAGATGTCATTAGGCAAACATAAAATAATGTCAAAAAACCCTTTAAAATGATAAACTAAAAAGTTATAAATATGTTTTTATAGAAATAGAATAAATATCGAATACCTCTTACTTTTTCACAATAACATTTTGGTTTTCTCATTAATTTATACTATTCTTACTTAATTTCTAACTTCCACATAAATGAAAATAAAATAGTTAAGATTAAACCTAAAACCCAAACGTGTTATTGTTAACCTAAAGTCAATTCATAACAATGTATTTAAATCACCATTAAACTAACTAGTGTCGTAAATTAAAACAATGAGATGACCCTAATCAATTTTATCTCTATTAGAACAATAATATGTGTCATGTACCTACATAGGTCGCAGGTCGCGTAATCAACATATTGAAGTTGAGCGCGTCGCACGAGCGCGTCCTACAAACGCAGACTCTCTAAAAAATATCTAACAGCTACGAAAATTTTCTTTTTTTTTCATGGCCTAGTTTGACAGTGCTTTTTTTTAATTGTGTCCGAGACACGTTTGTCAGTTACAGTTCAAATAAAAAACCTAGTGTTTCTTTCTTTTTGTTTTATATACATCGTTTCTTGCGTGGATGTGGAATTTTTTGGCGCGCAACAAACAAGCCGCAGCAATGCTAGGCTTACTATCGGTAGCCGCCGTGGTGACTATTATTCTCACCACGAAGGGCGTCTCCCATGCACTGGCCAACCATGGAATGGACGAGACTGAAGATATTAGCCCTGCAGCTCATATTTTCTCAACTTACAAGTAAGATATTCATATGTTAATGGATTTACACGAAATTTTTTACCCTATATAATAAGATTCCAAAATGAAATTTTAATACATTATTCTTTAAACGATTATGGTGTCGAATTTTAACGAACGTGCTTTCCAAGATAATTAGACTCATCCTTTCAACACGCCCACCACTCCTATACACCAAGATAAACAACAGTGACCCACGAACACAACCAGTTATGACAGCCGGGAAGTCACAGGAAACTTGGAAACCGCAACGAAATTAATCAGAATAAAATTGGAGGAGTTGGAATAATAATAAATTCAAGATAAATATAGCCTCGTTACGAATATTTCTAAATGTCACCCCTAGCAATGAATCAGTTCTAATATAAATCTTTGAACTGGTTGCTGATATATTAAAACAAAATCGGTTTAACAACATAAAACCGGTAATGTGAACGCCTGACGCGACTATCACTGCAACGTTCAAAAGTTACACTCTTGTACGTAGCCTCTTCAACAAAGCTTTCCTCAAAAACGTCAGGGACATTCTGCTCGGCAGCATTTGTAGTAGGTTTAGTTATACATGCATTGGTGATTAAATAAAAATGATGATAGGAACAAAAATAACTTATAAATAACTAACTAACCCAGGTCGTCACTTGAATAGAATATAAGCTTATTTGGGAAAATGTCATTGAACTTGATATATTTATGTTCAAGTTTCCTATGCTCAAAATTATTTTAATCTCCTCATGTAGTGGATATTTCAGGTTGTCGTTTATTTTTTTCTAATATTCTTTTACCAGTTTCACTTATAATTAACTTACTAGGTTATCTAAACTGAAAATCAATTTTAACCCACTTGTAGGTAATTGCTGTATCGACATAAATCTTTAAATTAATTTGAACGATAGTTTTTTTTTTATATTAACAAAAATGTATTATTTCAGCCTCCCAGCAAACGACAAGTTTATGCCATCTATCGGGAATGGACACATAGCCACTAACATCTTCAGTGACACAGTTTACATCAACGGTCTGTATAGCGGACCAGCAGGCCACAGTCACCGGGCAAGAATCCCTGCCTGGGCAAACATTAGACTGAATTCAACATTGACACATCATCCATATAGTCCAGTGTATAGCCTTGATACGAGGGAAGGAGTATTTAAAGTAAGAGTGGACAGAGATAGGTCTGTAGTGACCCAGAGGATTTACGCTCATAAGTTTTACACGAGAGCGATTGTGAACCAGATTCAAGTCGATTCTAAGACGCATTATGGTACGTTATAGCTTTCCCCATATTATATCGCCAAAAGCGTTAAATAAGGTTAGGGTGTAATGCATCACGCATTACACACTAACCTTATTTTAATAATATTGTGTATGCGTCACTGTGACAGTTTAGAAGCAACCACAGTTTTTTTTTAAATAAGTCCTCCCCTTTTAATAAGCTAATCCCTATTTATAAGCAAAAGAACAGGCTATATATAATATTTCTATAATCAATGACTAACAACTATGCTGCTGGGGTTTTATAAAGTTTTTGATTCTGCTACTTTCATATTATGATTTATTTGATATGTTTCTCAGCAAATGTCAAATTTGAATATTGCTAAAATAATTTTGGTAGGCGTTTGTTTACGTTTGCTGACACTCGCAGAGTGAAACATCTGAGTACAATTTTATTAAACTGTACTCAGATTTTTACAACTTGGTATCTTATCATGCACTTCATACTCAGACTTGATGAGGTCAGATAGAGTAGGTATATAGTCTTCACCATTTGTTAATTTAGAACCGCTTAAAGTGTTCCCAGTCCAGCGTCTTTTAATAATAATCCTTAGTTTATTCAGTGTGTGTGTCACATTTCAGATCCCAACTTCGTCAACAAGGAGATCTGGATAGCGATTAAATTAATGCCGGGTGAAACCAGCAAAGACATCGATTTTAATGATCCAATACCTGAAATCATCGGAGGTCGAACGATTTGGCATTCTTGTGGCAAGACCAGGGAGTCCGAAGATTTGACATATCAACCTCTTCCCGTGGATGTTTGCGCTTACTGGACCTCGGCGCCAGATCACCTGGTGGTACCCCAGCATGGATCCAGAGTTTTTACTTTCGCTATGACAGCGGATAAGAATAAGACGACAGCAAAAGAAGAGCTAGTCAAAGGTGATTGTAGTTGTGTGAATATTGATTTGTCTTTCATCAATTCATGAATTAACTATGCTCTGGAAATCCTATAAATCTTCCTGTATACTTTGCTTTCAAAATTATTTATTTGATGCCAGACTTTTAATCAATCAGCTGGAGTACATTGTCATCAACAAGATACAACCAAACTATTTTGGGCAAGATACCCCTTTTCTAAAATGAACTGAAACCTCAGACTTCCATAACCAAATTACTGTACGCTTATCGATCTGTTGAGTTGAGGACAACAATGATACTTCCTACTAAAACATTAGTCATTCTTATAACAAGTTGGTACACGTAGCATACGTAATCCAGTATCTTGAAAGTTTTAAATAAGAACTCGTGTTAAATATAAGAGTTTCACACAGCATTTTGACCTGAATTTTGCTTTCAAAATAGGTGGCAATTCTATTCAAGCTGATTATAACAAAATCAGTGTATACAGGTGATGTTCCAGCAACATATCCACTTTTTAATAAGTCAGCTTAATGTCAGAATCAAATTCTTTTACTTTTGACCGATACCAATTTCAACGGCAACATCCAGAAATGTAGGTACTTCTTCGTATATTGAATAACCTCGTTAAGTCATTTACAGCACAATTTCTGTGAGTTTCATTGTTTCTACACAATGGTAAAGTTACACCGTTACATAGTTTTGCAGGAGGACGGCGAAGTGCTGTTTCAGAAACACGTGGAAGAATGGCGCAAACTCTATGACCAAGGTGGCATTGATATTGAAGGAAACCTAGATTTGGTGAGTTACCTCTTTCATCACATCAACAGCCTATAATAGTCCACTGCTGGACATAGGCCTCTGCTTAGAAAGGTTTTGGCCTACTATACCACGCTGGCCAGACGGGTTGGTATAGGTTTGTGTTAAGTTTTCCTTCTCGCTGCAGTGCCGTTGTCCTGCGTAGTTTGCTCCCTTAGTCGGCTCTTACGACACCCACGGGATGAATTTTCTTAATCCGTCACCACACGGACGTTACCTCTTTGGCTACTTTGATTAGATTATTGTTAAATTAGCCTATATTCCATAAATTGGCATTGTAAAGAGAAATGTTCATAGTTTAAATAGACCATTGCACATTGACGTGGCAAGCAATGGAATCTCTTATTAAATATTTCAAATTGTTGAGTTTGTAATATATTTAGTTATAGTAACCAAAGATACTTTAAAGGCATTTGCGACATATGGTCTATTTTATTTTTAATGATCTTAAATTGAAAACCTCGGGGTTTTTAAAGACAAAGAGTTTAAGATTATAGATCAAATTTTCCATTTTTGACAAAGGCTTGAACCTCTGATGACGTCGAAGATAACCAACTGACTCTACATATTAATGCGATTCTGCAATATGCTGCATAAGTAACCTAAAAGTCGGTCATAAAGATTCTAGGTTTTGATAGTTACAAAGCTATTTTATTTCAGGCGAAGATAGTAAACGGCATATGGTACTACTTCTTGAGTTCTCTGCCTTCGGAAGAGTCGCACTACCCTCTCGACAAATATTATGGACTTAGTCCTACTGGTCTTGCTAGAGGAGGAACTTTTGAGGATTATGAAGGTAAGGTTTAAACTGTCATAGATTCATTATTCTGCAATTTTAAGTAGGTACAGAACAGGAAAGGTAAAAGGGTTATTACAGATAATTGTTTTAGTCATTGCCTCTCACGGGTAAGTACCTAGGATATTTTTTTGGTTTTCCTAAAACATTTTGTCTTACATACGTATGAAATCTATATAGATGAAAAAAAGAAACATGAAAACTTTCTGTTTTTCTAACTATTGTAAAATATTTAAATGAAATCAGCACATGGCGGCTTATTTGTTTTTATGTAAATGTTTATTTCAGACATTACGTATTCATCATCAAAATCGTGAGTCCTTCTTTCAAGTATAAATAAAATTGTGTCAGGCCCCTCCCCCTCCTCTGTATACAACCTTAACCTCCCGGACATTGCATACTTTTTGCATCTTAAATTCTTTCTACTTTTTAGGTCATAATTTCTGGGATACAGAAACTTGGATGTTCCCGCCTATCTTATTGTTGTATCCTCGATACGCAAACGAATTATTACAATACCGCCTTGATAAGGCATACGTGGCCGCAGAACTCGCCAAGACCACAGGCCATAAAGGTTATAGGTAATGTATTACAACGTACCTTAAATCAGTAATAGTAACTTAGGTACAATAACAGACTACGTTTCTTCATGAAAGCAGATGAGATAAGCAGTGTAACTACTGATGTTACATACCTAAATTTGAAGATTAAAAAATACAATGCTGGACTAGGGTTTTTTAAATAATTTTAATTTAACACTGAATTAACATTTACATTGAAGAGACATGTTAATAATTAAAGTAAGCTATAAGCAAGAAAAGGCAAAGAGAAAACCTAGGAAAAAACACATAAAATCCAGCAAACTCGTGTTATTCCTCTAAATGGACAGTTTTGAAGTAAACATTTGACAAAACATTAAATTCTACTTATTTTCAAGCGCTGCGCAAAATATGTAAAATTGAATAAATTAATATTGAATGCAATGCAAGCAATGTATTTTGTCTTGGATCTGTAAAATCACTATTTTTTTTACAAAAACCCCCAGAGTGTTATCTTAAGCTTTTTTACCTTACATGAAGCTAAATATAGCCTACGTATAGATATTAATTTTTTAGATTCCCTTGGGAGAGTGCCTACACAGGAGTTGAAGTGACGCAGCCATGTTGCCCCGACGTCGCCACATATGAGCAGCATGTCAGTGGCTGTATATCGTTTGCAGTCAGACAGTATCTCGCTACGACCAGAGATGAGGAATGGTTAAAGGTTGTGAACAATATTTCATATATCACTATACATATATCTATTAGGTACCCGTTGTTCAAACGTTTCTTTACAAACGAATTATGACGTCACAAACCATTGCAAGTTTGTACAGACAATCATGCAATAGTTTGTGACGTCATAATTTGCTGTTATCAATTACCTTTTTTTGACAGTTACAAAGTAACATTATAAAATTTATTAGAGTAATGAATCTTTTGATTGATTTAATTTCAACGTGTTTTCCAGCATGGCGGTTGCGACATTGTGACAAATATAGCGGACTTCTGGGCGTCTCGCGCTGTCATCAATTACAACACCGGATTGTACGATATTTCAAGTAAGTCCTAATGTAATCAACACGGACATGGATGAGGGAATTTCACTACCTATTCCCCGCAGTAATCTAACAGGTAGTATTTTTTTTATGTTAGAGGGGGCAGACGTGCAGACGGGTCACCTGATGGAAAGTGACCATCGCCGCCCATGAACGTCTGCAACTCAGGAGTCACAAACGCGTTGAAGGCCTTTGCCAAACAATAATTCCGATTCATTCAAATAAGAAGCTGTATTTGTGATATGCTAAGCAAGCTTTTGCTGTTCCAGTAAGGTGATACTTCACGGCACTGTTAAAGCAACTTCAAAAGACTCCTTTCAAAGTAGTTCAAAAGTTATAGTTAAACTTCAGTCCAGTTTCAGTCTGGAAAAACTACGTACGTAGTTTTTACAGACTGAAATTACGCACCCTTGCCTTGAATATTACTAAAATTAGACTTGAATGAGAATATTTTTTAACATACTAGCCGCAAATAGTTCATTAAAAGTCATAACTTAAGCAATTATGTAACATTTAACTGTTCTTTAAAAACTAAATCCTAAGCGTTTAGCTAGGCGACTTTAGTTAAGTGATTGTTGAACTGTACAGATGTCATGGGCCCAGATGAAGACCACAGAAACGTTAACAACTCTGCATTTACCAACGTTGTTGCTGGATACTCGCTTTACCTAGCACAGTAAGTTAATATACTTATATTAACTTACTGTAAAATGTAATGTAAATTATATGGACTTAGTCTGAAAATAAATTATTATTATTATTATTATTATATAGATGTGAGTCTGAATAATAATTATATAAATAATTTTAGAGTTAATTGTCTCTGTAGCTCTGAATTGAATCTCATACCAAACTAGTATTAGACTGGTTATTTTACGATGTATTGACGTAATTTACAAATGTGTAAAATACCTACAACTAAAATGCTTACTCTTCAAGCCGCACTCGTCTTTTTGTATTACTGAAATAAATACGCACAAGAACAACATATATTATAGCTTTAATGACGAAATTCGCACATACCATTTGAATTAGTTGACATATTAAAACATGTTAATCAATAGCAGACAACTGTCTGGAACCAGTCAAAGTAAAGTGGGAATGCCATGCATCGCAAAAGTAATACAAACATCTAAAATTCTGTCTTGTACTACCTATTAAAGAGGCTACTACAACATTTCAGATATGTTGCCTGCCTCTGTAAATCCTACTACATGGCAAAAGAGCCGGACCACTGGGCCGACATCGCATGGAGTCTGGCGTTGCCCTATGACTCTGAGCACGACTACCATCCTCAGTTTACAGGATATACAAGAGGGGAGGAGATCAAACAAGCTGATGTCGTTCTATTGGGCTTTCCTCTGCAGTATACTATGAACTCGTGAGTATTTAGTAATAATGAAGCGGTTGTTAATAAGTTTTATTTTAAAGAATTACCTTAAGTCCCTATCATCCGTGACGACTGAGAATTTAAAAGTGAGGTTTCCTTTCTCCTCTCATGAGTTAACAAAGTAAATCTACAAATATGTATGAATCTAGGCCAATCGAAAATTCGAAGCACACGATAGAGTAAATATCCACCGTATGGAAAACCGCAATCAATATAGCTTGGTGAGAGTTCTTAGCATATACAATTTTTCTCTTAAATTTATTTAAAATTATTTAAAGTTGATGTTTCAAGGAGAACGCAGGACTTTTTAAAATCACAATTGATGAACTCTAATCAGTTGTTGTTTCAATAAATAGAAATTCTTTTTCATTTTCTCAGCTCCACTCGGCAGAACGATCTGGATTACTATGAGTCGGTAACTCGAAGCAGTGGTCCCGCTATGACATGGAGCATGCACACAATCGGACATTTGCAAATGGACGATGGAAAAGCTGACATCAGTTTCAATAAAAGCTACGAAGGTTTTGTTAGAGAACCCTTTAAGGTACCTTGTTACTTAATTTACTTTAAAAAAAACTATTACGTAACATTTTTATTTTATATTCACTTACGGAAGCTTGTCGATACTAATCCTTGTAATCCCTGTGGGCTATCGACTCTACTCTACGAGTAAGTACTCGTAGAAGAGTCGATAGCCCACAGGCAATTAAGCTAATAGTGGTAATTTAACAGCGCAGTATTTTTTTTAGAAGTATATAATATAAAAAGTAAATTATAATCGTATGTAATATATATAATGTTGTAATATATCCTTAATCCTTAATATATCCTTTACGTAAATTTTCCTTTTTAAACCTTTAGTGCCTATTATAAATTAAATTTAAAAAAAGTTCGGTAAACAATTAGCAAAGATATCGCTTAAAATGAATACAAGAAACAACGCTTAATCTAGAAAGTCATAAAGTGTTACTGATTTTGGAATGTTTATTCATGCCCGAGAACTAGTTTAGCCTGGAGTATAGACTAGAAAGTTTCTAAGGTCGACAAGTGAATTTGACCTGCGTCTGACCACTATAAAAATTGCGCTAATAACTATACACAACGAACTTAAACAATTAAAGACATAACAATAGTTTTACTAATTTCAGGTATGGTCAGAACTTCGACGACCGGACATAGGGGCAACAAACTTTTTCACTGGAATGGGCGGTTTCCTTCAGACACTGATCTTTGGGTACGCTGGTATCAGTATACACTTGGACAGACTGGAGATTAATGAAGCTCGTCTGCCACCCAACGTGAATAAATTTACGATTAGAGGTACATAAATGAACAACGTAGTTAAACATCTAATTTAAAGTATAAATAAAAGTAATCGTCCTGTATTTTCAAGTGCGCTCTAATATTAAACATAAATTTGTAATTTAATTAGCAGTTCAGTGATTTCATAATAAATTTATGTTGTATTTGACTATTCAATAAGAGCCTAATCGTTAAAAATTTGTACTTATATACAGATGAGATACAATAAATACCAAAATGAACTACGTAAGTGAAAGTAGGTATAAGATTGATCTATATTTACGGGGAACCTTAGTGGATAACACGATATATGAACTAATTTATTTATTTATTTAACTTTATGCACTATTGTACATCGGCGGACTTAATATATTAAGTAGTAAGTGAAAGTATATGTAACGGTTCGCTACACATATAAACCCATACATACACATAGATATATACAATTACACACATACATATATATTCAATTATATTTATATAGATACATAGACATATTATATTCGCACACTATGAATACGGGAATATGAGGTATACTATGGATTAGATAGTTCTGCCATCTCGTTGAGAAGGAGATCATGTACCTTTTTTTTAAATATAGAGCGGTTTGTGGACATCCTGACTTCGAGCGGGAGCGCATTCCAGAGTAGTACTGCTTGAACAAAGAACGAAGAACTCACGAAGTCGGAGTTGCACGAGGGACTAATCTAGTTTTATAGAAACTGGAAATCGTCTGGCGGTCGCAATACCATTTATTTTTATTCCATAGGTTTATGTAGTCATTTTTACATACCTAATTATTAGTATGAACTCTATAGCACTTTTTTCTTAAATTTTAGCTATTTACACTACTTCTACGCTCAGAGATTATCTCGAATTATTTCAAAGTTCCCATTTCTATAAAAATCCGTACAAAAAATTCTCCATTCGTACTCATCTCGTAAATACTTGTCTTTATTACAGGTATAAAGTATTTGGGTTCAAACCTGACATTAGAAATCCAGCCAAACAGCACCAAGTTGAGCGTCATATCAGTAGATGACAGTTGGCCACTCGTTCTACACGATACAAAATACAACATCGTGTTGGCACCCGGAATTACAGGTAAGTTTTCTTATAGAACAACAAGCTAACGGGGATCATCTGATGTGAATGACTACCTTCCCCTCTTGAACACCGACTCAAGAGACACAAATCCCAGTAACGTGTTTTATTTGTAATTCCAGCTTTATTACCTGGGCGCGGTCCGTTCACGATTCATTCTGATCCTTGGAAGTCATGCAAGCTACCTGCCGACGTCATCGGACAAAACTATTTAAGGCCTATTCTAACATAAGAACTTAGACTTCACGATATTTATTCACGAGATCTCTTTGTGTTTAGATAAAACATTTATGTAAATTTATTAGTAACCTTAACTGGAAATCTTAAAACAAAATATGTGCTATATGGAGGCTCGAATTAGACATGTATTGCACTATGACTCTAACAATGAAAAAAAACTTTGTTATATCTAGACAAGAGATTAAAGTTTTAATACAAAACAATTTTCTATTGATTTGATAATACTTTAGAGTACATAGTACCTAATCCTCCACATATTTTGGGTTAAACATGTTCTCAATAAATTTTCTTATACATTTTGGCAAAAGTAAATCAATGGCTAATTCGGCCATCCATGAGGAGGGCGGTTTTCTGTTATTATTATTAAATACATACTAAAATAAAAATCAGAGATGTGTGTTTGTTTATTATAATGCGTTAAGTTCACTATCATTATGTAAAAAGTGAAGCACTATTGGTTAAGAGAGAAGTTGCTTTTTTTTATATTTCCTACTACTACAATTTACTTCTGATTAATTTCGTTGTTGTCGTTCCCAGGTCAGTAACTTATGAATTAATAACATACAGCACAGAGCAAAAGATTGTGTTCATCCGTCCGTTCATCAGACAGTGTTCAATGTGATTAAAGTTTAATGATTTAGAACTACAAGATAAAAGTTCCATCCGCATCAATTGGATAATTGGCGCTCTACCAATGTGCCCAATTCAAGATATTAAATATATGGCCGCATATGGAATACTACAGAGAGTAAGGTCAAATTGGCCTCAAAGAAGCTCGGTGTGCTGAACAGATTTCACTCCGACCCACCGCCTTCAGCTCTATAAGGTGAAAGTTCGGCCGCATATGGAATACTGCTCTCATCTCTATGCGGTGGCACCTCAGTAGCAACTTCTATCTCTGGACCGCATCCAACGATTAGCGACTCGAATCGTTGATAGCCCAAAGATCTCCGATCAGCTCGATCCCTTGAATTTGATCCCAAGGAATTGTTCGGTCAAGTACCGGCCGAAACTTGGATAATTGGCGCTAGACCAATGCGCTTTTCAAGACACTTTTTTCTCGCACAACTAATCTGTGGAACAAGTTATGGTCTGTGGTATTTCAGATCAGATACGACCTTTAAGAAAAGAGCGTACTCCTTTTTAAAAGGCCGGCAACGCGTTTGTGACTCCTGAGTTTCAGGCGTTCATGGGGGGAGGTAGACACTTTCCATCAGGTGACCCGTCGTATCGTCTGCCCACGCTTATATAAAAAAATGTTTTGCCTGGCAAAATAGATCTATAGAAAAAATTGTCACGCCTACGTTATTTGCAAACTGGTGCGGCCTTCAAACCTTGAGAGGATCACTAACCACTAACTGATATAACCTATAAATTTATCTCTTAAGTCATTTATTTGACACTAGGAGACACTATCAAAAATGATAACATTATATGGGTATTATCTTTTTAATAGATAAATTTAACCTTGCAATTTTTTTCGTGTTAAAAATATTTAAGTCTCTAGAAGGCACTTATGGGCATAATGAAACTGCAGACTTTGAACATTACGAAATAGGTTGTAAACAGCTAGTAAACAAGTAAAATATGTGCGGGTTGTCATTCATTAAGTCAATAACATGATGACGTAATATGACATAGAAAGGCTGAACTTTGATTACAAGCACTACTGTGTCAGCTAAAAGTCGATAAGCGAATCCAAAATTTATCAAAAAGCCTGATATAAGATGTCGGATAGTAAGATTTTTGTCAGTTCAATGGTTTTTTCTCAGTAAAAGATAGGAGAGAGAAGATTTCTGTCGTTACTAGCCAAAAATATTTACAGTTGAACAGTACTACCCTTCTTTTGTTCTTTTTCCTGCTGAAGAATACAATAAAGAAAAAAAAAACAAATCACATCACGCTTACTATATTTTGAATTCAGATCAAAGGCACTAAGATGCTACAATTACATTTCAATAAATTTAAAATTAATTTACATAAGTATTTATATTATCTATGAACAACCAATAACAATATGCAACAATATTACATTATAGATAAAGTTTAAGAACAAAACACACGAATTATATAATTCTCGAATACATCCAAAATCATGTTATTTATAATTAATTATCGCAAACTGCATGGAAACTCAACGAATAATATTTTTATGCGCAACAATGTCGTAAGTTCATTAAATATTTATCTGTAATGCCAATATCATTAGTGTATTGTTATCAAACGTCAATAAGCTACTGTACCGTTTATCACAGGGAGCTTTGGAATACAATTATGGAATGTTAGTTCAATCATACATTTTTAATGACTTAACTATTAGGCTATTCCCTTTATCATAACGAATCTGTTAATTAAAATATTAATAAGTTTTATCGCAAGTTTTAGTTAACATAACAAATTGCACTGAAGGCCAATTCTCGTAATATAAGTTCGGTCAAAGTTTAGTGCTGATCTACGCTCGGCACTGAATTTTGACCGATCGAATATTTAGTATTTTCGTAGTAAAGTATTAAATATCCAACGTTGACCGTAATGTGATAATATTGTATTGTGACCGACAGTTGAATAGGTTATCTGCTAGTCTTAGTACTATTTTACTACGAAAATACCTGTTGTGATTGCGTTTATAATATAATTAATCATATCGCACATACAATCATAACAATGTAATGAAGTTAACTTTCAATGAGTGCAATTACAAAGGGTCAGAAATTACTTCAAAGTAGGGTAAAAATATTTAGTAAGATCGGTTAAGGTCTGATTTATATTTACTTGAAAACATTTGCCGTTGTATGTCAATGTATAATTGTATCAATTAATGCTTAAGACTGAAATATAAACATTTTCTGTATTCATAGATTTTGGGCCCATCATTTAGACAATAAGTATGTACTACATTTATTCTAGGAATAGTGTAAGAGTATTGTTCAATTTCTATAATAATGATAGAAAACATTCTGCTCTTTCTTGTCAGTTTCAGTATGACTATAGTATGGTTTAGTACAGTTAAACCGTAACAGTTATAAGAATATACAACAGGACAATAGGAACAATTTTTTGTCAAGTTAATATCATTTCGATAGCTGATAAGTGTGGGACTTCCACTTACACCATAACCATTTAATATCACTAACGAAGGACTGCTTACCGATACTGAATAGCACAATAAAAGTACCCCGCAGTATTGAGCAGCGCTATAACATAACATTTGTTATCAACTTCCCAAATCAATTGGTAATACGCGATCACCTAGCCTGATCAAACCTGGTCAGAACCTACATTTTACGTAGGAGGGATTTAAAAACTCATGTTTCCACAGCACACACAGTTTTTCTTTTTCTTGGAGAAAGGAACCAAATTATTATACAGAAAGGCGCCCTGTCTAGCCCTTAGAATAAAAAGATTAAGTAATTATGGAGAGCGTAACCATTCTTAACATATATAACGATAAATCAAGAGACTAGCTATACGCCAGTGTTTTACCTTATCATCTTATCACTCGTTTACAAAGGATTACCTTATCGATTTTCTTTATTACTAAGATTATAGGTCATCAGACGTTATACATGTCATACCTATCGATATGTTTAAAATCAAACTGATACATAAAACTTATGTTTATTACATAATCGAATTGGTAATAAAATGTTACGAGTGATATTTTATAATTAATTAATACAAGTTAAACGATTATTTTTTTATTTATGTTTTTTTATACAATTAGTTGCTATCTGCTTCTGGTCTGACAAGTTACCACTAAGATTTTAAATAAAGACGTACGTTAATCGACGGATGTAAAACCAACAGCCGTCACCGTTCTAGGCATAAGTGGTTTTAAGTGGGTTGACCTAATAAGGCCCTTGTGGTTTATAAACAAGTTAGATCTTTACCGAATTGTCATTACCTAAGCGCTCCGGTGAAATACTACACAGAATATATGTATTGTAAATTTCCTTAATCAAAGACTTATGTACAACACGCCGTATACTGTTATCATTACAGCTAATACAGGAACTTGTTTAAAATGTATAAAAAATAATTACGTCTTAAAGTTAAATCACACACCAAAGCACCTATTTATGTTTTTGTTCTACGGACAAATTGCAATGTTACAACTAACTCGTTAGACGTACCCTAGAGTTAGAAGTACGTTTATATAAAGTAAAATCAATGTAACTATTTTGTACCGATATTGTAACAAAATAATGTGTATATACCTAACAACAACATTACAACAATTAATGTGAACTTCACTTGGTTAAATATTCTAATTCGTCAACAATAAAAAAGGATGATTAGTAAATATAAGACATTAGTATCACTAAGTAATTACCATTTTGACAAAAAAAAACCAGACGAATTGATAACCTCGTCTTGTGTTTTTGAAGTTAACCGACTTCAACGATAAAGAAATAAAAACAAAACGTTTTCAAATTTGAATAACGTTCATTCTCTTATGTAATACCCTTTTAATTAAACTCGTTTTCAGTACAGTTTTAATTTATGGTTTGTATATTTTTTTAATATTATTTCATTTATACAGGATATGAAGTATAAAAATGCATGAATATAAAAGTTTATACTGAAGACTAAGACTAAAAAGTTAACTTTTCGCGAAGCGCAATTTACAAGTAAAATACCTATAGCTACGCTACGTGAAAATATCCTTTATAATCTTCGCGATCAGTATTTCCATTCTGGATGAAAGTACATTTGGACTTTATCTGAACTCTTGACAAAGTGTGAGCGAAATTTCACGACGAAAAGTTTAGTACTTAAAGCCTAAAATCTTTGCAAAAAAAAACGCACATTTGATCGCTTTCCGAACAAAACTGTCTAGTGGAAAATTGACGGTTTTTACTTTTGAATGTCATTGGATAAAGCTACTTTTCCCTCATTATGGTGACATCACTACAATAAACAAAACGAAGTCATAAACTCCTGAAATTAATATTTTTTTACTGCAGGCAGCAGGTTTTTCACTGCCTAGCAAACACAGTCGAAAAGACTCGGGCGGTGTTATTCGATAGGCGATACATTAGATATTTAGGGCCTTATTTTTGCTTTAAAAATCTAGTTTAGGTAAAATAATTTTTGATGTCTCATATCGTCAATAGTTTAGTTTCAACCGTTAATGCGCTCCAGTCAATAAGATAATTTAACAAACACCTATCTTCTGCTTTGAAGCAGGTTCCATTGTAACGGCATTCCACTTCGCCTCGCTGAACAATGCGGAACATGTATATATGAACATAATATTGTCAGAAACGGGAATAGTTTAAGATATAAAGATTAATAAAAGAGTAAAATTTTATAGTATTTCATAAAATGTTTCTGTTACTGTAATCTGTAATATCAAAAGTCATTGAAATCTGATAGGCCACTTTTGATTGCTATACTACTGTAGTTAGAACAATAGGCTTCGATATTTCATTGCTGATATTACTTGACTATACCTATGTGTAATTATATAAGAATATTGAAAGCGAATGCACTGCCTATCACCATCAGCACTGCCTATCACCATCAGCACTTCCTGTTCAACATCGCAGCTGTGCGTTGAATAAATACTTGATTTATAATTAAAAATTGATTGTTGAAATGTTACAAATTTTATTTTTATTATCTGTCACTGAAATACCTCAAGACCAATTTGGTTAATTTTTGCTAACATTATCAAAGTTAACGAAACATAAACAGTTGTAATTTGAACCCGTGCGTTTATTACGTCAGAAAAAAATCGCAATTCTGGTATGTGCAATTAATTATTATTATCATCATCATCAACAGCCTTAACTAGTCCACTGCTGGACATAGGCAATTATATTATAAAACTGCAATAGGTACCATACTTGTCGCTTAATAACTTGTTGACAAACAAAGTATTTAGATCTGTGGGACAAAACTACTATCATCAGAAGCTATAACTATTCAATTAAACACAAAGTTTTTCAAAACATACCTACGGTTTTTGATGCTTTTCAATTCTTTTAACTTATTTTATACAAACTATCAATTGATCTGTAACGTAAAATAGAATTTAAAGTAACCTGAGGTCAACGACATGCATCTACAATGTGTTGAATGTGCATAAAACAATAAATAGGGTCTAACTAAACACCGAAAATTAACACTTGTTGTATTCATTAAAACTTATGATATTTTGAGTGTATTATACTTTCTGTTTCTAACCCATTACCAAACAACCTATGGACTGTATATGTCTGAAAATAAAGCTATTATTATATTATTATTATTGTACCTTGATCTCTTTATCAACTGCACATACCTATATATATATACTAGCTGACCAGCGCAACTTCGTCTATGCCTTTCAAAAGGAATAAATTTTCCCCATTTTTGCAACATTCTTCATTGGTGCTACGCTCCTATTGGTCTTAGCGTGATGATATATAGCCTTCCTTGGTAAATGGTCTATCTAACACTGAAAGATTTTTTCTAATCGAACCAGTAGTCCTGAGACTAGCAAGTTCAAGCAAACAAACAAACAAACTCTATAATATTAAGTATAAATATCAGTATAATATATATCAATAGATATAATCAATTATGTGAATACCTAAATAGTTCACAGCGTTTTCAATATGTAGTATTCTGCGGTTATTTAGCCGACTTAGTGCTTGAGTACGCTGGTGGATATATCTCGCCAAGCATTCCGTACAAGACACCGTATATCCGATTTTGAAAGATAACAGAGTTACGGTATTTAATGTTGTACAACGGATCTAGCAAAATTAATTGTGCAACTTCAACGTCAGGTTAATGTGCCGTACGGTAGACAGACAGCACGTTTGGTATTAAATTACATTTAGGTATAAATTCATAATGTATAGTTCTTAACAAACATTTTCTTAATACACCAATTTAGTGATCAGTTGTTGCTTCGTTATTCCGATTTGAACGTCAAATCGGAGCATAATTTCTATGTAATCCACTGCACATTTTTTTGAATTCACAAACAGCATTCACAATATAAGTACAAGCAAAAAAAAACATGGAAAATTATGGAATGAGGAATACAGCTGATGACAGTTTATCATGATCTAGGCGAATGGAAATCGATGATGTTTTTGTAAAGTAAATTAATCATTAAAATAGTGCGTAAACGGCAGAACCATATCGGCACCATGTTGTTGATTGTTAAGTTAAATTATGTTGTTAAATAACTTAAGTATCCGTACGCAATAATATAATATCATTTTTCAACGAGGTGGGATGTGAAAAGAAATTAAAATATATAATAGCACGTATCTAGAAAATCAATGTTCAAAACAAAACAAACTATAAGAAAGAACAATAAAGTTTGATAAAACGGGAATGATTCAAGACTGAGCAGACGTTTTAGTTTTACGAATTTAAATTTCAATTAAACTTTAAGTGTATACTTATGCAGGTTTTTTGTGAATTTGTGTGTGTTCAGCAACTTCATTATTGTTTACTTTATCACCTTAACTCAATCCGTCACGCAAGGACATTAAAATAAATAGATAAGAACTAGGGAGAGAGTCTATAAAATATGGTAAAAGGCATATTGAAATTAAAGAAAAGATTAGCGTAGTAAAAATAGTAATGGCTAAACCGAGTTAATTTCTTTAATAGGTACGAGATTGTGCACATATAAATTTAAAGTGTACCTTGCTTTCACGGACAATGCCATAATATGGACAAGAATATAAAAAAGTTTCACGCTTTCTAAGTACACAGCTATCTTATACTTCACTCTTTATACGATTATTCTATTACTTGTACAAGGCCACTGAGGTAAGGCGATCGGGGATTCTACCACTTTAAGTTGTTACAAAAAAAAAACTTGTACTTATAATTATTTTACTACGCTTGTAGGTATAACCCAGAACCTATACCTAAGGTTTGAACTCTGTCGAGCACATTAGAGACTTGAATATATTCCCAATACCATGAACGTGGATTAATATGGGGAGAAACAATAATAATAATGAGTAATATAATAAATGGTAAAATAAGGGAAAATATATTAAATTTCAAAAAAATACCAAAGTTTTGTACTTTAAACAACTGATTAAATATTTATAGGATGAAAACAACCTAAGCGAAACTTCAGGGTCGTCGAGTAGAGGTATAGGTATTAAAAAATACAAAAGTAGTCTGAATCCCTCGCAGTCACCGCAACACCTTCGCCAATAACAATAAAGAAAGTACCTTCTACAAACAAGATCTACTAATCTAATCTAACCAAGATCAAATCCAACAATATTGTCTAAATCATAATTGAATATTCTATAGTCGTGCTTGTATAATTTGTACAGTTGCCTGATGAGTGGCAGGTCGAGTTGAGAGTAGTACTTGTGAAGTTTCTCGGCAGTTCCCGAAGTGCGGCTCAAACGGGGAAACTGAACTTGAGATGCGTTGATTGTGTGCAATGCTAGTAGCGCATCGTCTAATAGCGTCTCGTATTTACCTGAAATAACAATAATACTTTATGAGCAATTGGTTCTTCGAACAACTACGCTTTAAATAGTAAGTTGGCACTTGGTTAACGCAAGTAGTCACTGTCGGGGTGTAAATACTTTAAAAATCGTTGCTTTTGCTGAGAACCCGTATCTTAAACATAACACATGGGACCGAACCATACTACTGTCCATATGTAACATCCTAGCAGCAGAATATTATATATTACGTGTTTAGAGGTATCCCTGCGAAGAATGGAATCTGTGAAATAACTACCATTTCTCCTAATCTATAAAAGATGGCTTCTAAGAAATACGGATGCCATTTAGAGTTGTACTAAATACTTTTATAGTACCAATACAACAGATACATTGGTGTCGGTTCACAAAATAATATGTATCACAATTACTTGGCAATTGAACAAAAATAAAGAAACAATAAATGTTTTAGTATTTATATGTAACACTAATAGTTAGAATCGTTACATGACACAATTATTAATTACTAGCTGACCCGCGCAACTTCGTCTGCGTCTCTCAATAGTAATAAATTTTCTCCGTTTTTGAAACATTCTTCATTGGTGCTCCGCTCCTATTGGTCTTAGCGTGATGATATATAGCCTATAGCCTTCCTCGATAAATGGGCTATCTAACACTGAAAGAATTTTTCAAATCGGACCAGTAGTTCCTGAGATTAGCGCGTTCAAACAAACAAACAAACAAACAAACTCTTCAGCTTTATAATATTAGTATAGATAAATATCGGATCGTTACGCCCACAACCTATAGTTGGTTAAATTGACTGTTCAATAGGTCAAACATTTTTAGTATCTATTATGATGGCTTTCAATCTTTGGACCACAGTTTAGCTTACAATTAGGCGGGTTGAATGTTGACGTAGAAAAAGATATTTAACCTATTACGGCAGATACGTCGTAACGATTTTTTAACCCGAATACAAATTTTCTTTCCAATTACGACGTTCTTCGTAAATAAATGTCATAATACACAATATCACAAATGTGTTACACGTGCAGGCCAAGTAAGTACTTAAGTACTCTTCGATCATCATGACCGTGTACACCAGGATTTATTGCGCCGGGCTGTCTTAAAATGGTGTAATAGGTTCTACGTTCAAATTTGGAGTCGTCTATCGGGATTTGACAAGCAGAATACAGTTAAAGAGTACATACGTAAGAGTTGAGAAAAAAGTCGTATATACTGATTGTTGTAAGATATTAAGTCTTTACTTAATATCTTACAACAATCAACTCAACAATCAACAACTACTATACGAGTAAATACCACTTTCTAAAATATTTCTCTGAAATTTAACCTATGGTCAATTGGTTTAAAATAATTTAAAGACTACGCAATTAAGTTTACAAAGGCCGTTAATAAAGCTTTGAATAATCTATATTACAGAGGTAATCGATAGCATAAGTTGTTTTTTGCTAACCAAATTGCTGTAAAGGTTAATAAATTTGAGAATATTCTTAGTAGGTATTAATGTTATAACTTAAAAAAAGCCTAAAAGTAAAAACAAACATTTGATAATTCTTACTTTATGAACGTCCATAATACGTTGGACTATTCGGATAAAGAGCACAATGACCATAATTATTATGCTGCCTACTTGACAATTTTTTTTAATAGTACTAGTAAAAAGTTTTAAAGCTAGTCCACATTCTGGACGAGTTTAAAACTAAGGTTACTTACTATCTGTAACAGTAAATTAGGGTTTGGTTTTCTAAGAGATCGTTAAAATTTAAAAATACATTGCGATTATAGAAGTCTGTATTTAAAGTCATGTCTAAATTAAGATACGGAAATACAAGTCGTAGAATGCGAAAACTAATCTTCATTTTTTTATATTTATGAGACTCATGACGCAATCTTCGAGGCAATACGTGTAGGATACAATTATTGTCTCATAATAATATATATTAAACCTCTCTGTGGGTAAATTCGACAAAAAATAAATGGTAAGTGCGAGTTCGGTTTAATTTATTCATAATTATGAGTCCTACACGCTTTTTATATACGTATAAATTTTAATGCGTGTAACTTACGTATGTAGGTCCAATTTTTTGAAACAGAATAGGAAAATTTTATTAAATAAATCGATAAGATTTAACATGTACAACACATTTCAATTGATAGAATCGCTAACAGCCATATTACTTTTTCTTCGTGACGTCATATGGGTACTAACTATAAATTATTGCAGTTTTATCAACTTTGAAATGCGTTACTATGCTTATGAAGATAAATAATGTTGAAGATTAAAACATCATATACCTATTGATGTTTAGAAATTTTAATGCTAGAGTTTTATGCTAGATTTGTACTTTCTGCCGTTACAAAAACCCGTTCTTACATGTTTGATTTAAATTAACTATCAATGCTTGACATGATGATGTCATGTTATATCTGAGAAAAAGAACAGATAAAAAAGTGAAATTAATTTATAAAATTTAATTTCTAAATTTATATGGTAGTTACTGCCATAAATAACCTTTTTGCCACTGCCTTAGCTATATTTAATTACCTTTTATAACTAAGTATGTGATTTCTATGGTAAACAATTTTTTTTTACCAAAATAATTAATCCGCTTCGAGTACCAAAAATCGCTAATGTAGGTATATTCACGCAGGCTGCTTGATCGTTTGTCGGCACGAATAAAATAATAGAACCATAAATAACCAAAATTCTCAGATCAATTTTAATTCCATAGACAAAGGCGAATCAGATATCTGAACATTTGTTTTCAAAAATATGATAAGTATATTTAATAATGGTGATGTTTGTTCTACACCAAAAAAGGCATTATACACATATATAGTACATATATGTATAGTACATATATGTATAGTACAATATCCGCTCACACCTTAAGATAGCCCTAATGACGTACCAACTGCGCGGCTGCGTCGTTAAGTGATACAACTAGAAAATAACGTAATTAAGTTATTGGTGTATAGATAATTTAACTTCTATAATTATTATAAAACAAAAAAGCAAAAAAGAATTGAAAGAGAAGGAAAACTTGACACAAACCCTATACCAACCCGTCTGGCCAGGGTGGTATGTGTAGAGTAGGACCAAACCTCCATTCTAAGGAGAGCCCCATGTCCAAAAGTAGACTATTAATGGATGTTGATGTGATGTTATGTGAATTATATTCGATAATTAAACTTCTATAAAACCGTTCCTACACAGTATTTTTTCGGGCGTTACCAGAAACAACTTAATTTCGTGTAGGTACGTCATTAGGTACTTCTTACTATGCGGTTACATTTATGTTTTAGGCCAATAATAAAAATAAACATACCTAATAACAAAATATTAAAGTATAATAAAACTAGTTTCGATACGCATTACTTGTCTGATTGTAGTTGTAAATATTTTTTACTATGTTTTTTTTCTAACTTCGTAGAGTAAAATTGTTATGTGTGGATGTATAATTGGTTCGATTATCCTACATCTATTCGCCAGTTAATTGCTCAAAGTTTATCAGACTATAGCTTAAGGCGTTTTACCACTTTAGCTTCAGCCGGCATAGCGACAAAAACAAATAGGTAGTCTTTTCAATTTGCGTTAAAAAAATATTATAAAAACTAATCTTGAATTTAAAAATCAGTTTGTTGCATTGGATTGTTAATAACGGCACTTGAAATGTTAGTTTACACCAATTTTCAAATTACTTTTTAGGAAATTATTAAGGGGTTTATACACATGGGCCCGGCTCCACCGGAGTGCTACTGCGGCCTCACAGAAAACCGGTTTGAAGCAAATCTTTCGTTGCTTTTCGTCGATAGATTGAGTAACCGAGATCCAAACCGTTTCATTCTGAGGGACTTAAAAATCGTCAATGCACTTGTGACTCTAGAGTTAACTGTCTACGGGCGGCGGTAGTTGCTTACCATCAGGTGAACCTCAATTCTGTTATTTTATGTGAACGCCATGACACTGTCATTCTATTGACAGCTATTGAGATGCCATTGACATCAGTCAAAATATCGGTATTCTACTAACATAAATTCAAAGTGTCAATAGACTGTCTGACTGTGATATCAACAACATTGCCATACCTGGAAAATTTCATTTTCTTACTAATTTAAAATGTACGGTTTAACAAACCATTACAAAGACATCGACGACATTTGTATCGGTGACAAGTCATCCATTGGTCTTACATAGTAAGTAGAATCAGAAAGTGCAAAATTATCCGACGATATTCCATCGACAGTCTATTGATACTTTTTTTATTAATTAAATTTTACCATATTTTTCATAGAAAATGTAATTACATCACATCGTTTTAGCTCACATTATAAAATGTGGATTTTTTTAAATAAAGCTTGCATTTAAAACGAAAGTGTGCAAACTAAATTAAGATACTGATAAGACTAATAAACAACAGTGACTAATTATGATTATTTTAAACTAGGATTAATAGGATTAGAAGACCCAGTCACAAAACATTAGAACTGCACACCTATTGTGTTAACAATATGCAAAAAATAAACACAGAAACAAATGGAACAGCTTTTATATATGTGCAAAAGGGGCTAGTTAAAATAATTTTAATTATTTTAAAATTAATTAATAATTATTCAGTAATTAATTTAGTTTAAATTTTAACTTAAAATAATATAGCCAGTAATTATTACTGGCTATATCGCTTATATAAACTCAAAATATGAGATATGCCTGACGACAGTCTAGCCGAAATTCATAGCTCTATTAAAATAAATTAGCTTATTTTATTGTCAACTTACGTATATTAAGTATACTTAATATGGAGTCATATTTTGAATAATTAAGGTACTTTATGTCTGACAATGAACCAGTGTGAACAAACCCAAACTCTTAAAATTAACCTTGGTAGTTGATCCAACATTTTGTAATGTACCAATTTAATTGAATTACCTATCGTTTATCATCGTTCATTTTGACAAGACTTTTAAACAAATTGCTTCATAACTACAGATGTCGTTAACATTG